CAAATATCCTATCAACGAGTCTTGTCCCCTGACAAAGATCAGTAAAATAATATGTTCTATCTGATAACATGTTAGAAGAAAGTTAAAAATAAATTCCAGTCATCAGTAAATGGCCTTATGATTTTCCTCCCTCCCCTAAAGCTTGCTAAGTGTCTAAAAGGTACTGTTTCTTTCACATATTTCCAAAACCATGAGACAGGGAGGGGTAGATTTGCTAAATAAGACAAGTACTAGGGCATTATTCAGATCTCCAGTCCTCCTAATTTTGCGCAAGATATGAATTTTTTAACTTAAAGCAGAATGGGATACCTAGAGTTTCAGGACCACATGGAGCCCCTCCAAAGCTGTTTTCTGCTGGATCCCAGAATCTGCTTTGACCAAAACAGACAGGATGGTTTCTTGCCATTTGGAGATGGGAAACACAAAACTTGCAGTGTAAGAGCTAACACAGACTTAATGCAGTATAAAAAATAAAAAAATAAAAACCCTCCCAATCCCTAAACCAGAAAGAAACCCAAAAGCTCCCGGCCCTGTATCTCTAAATAATGGAAGTTTAAAAATATAATAAAATTACCCCACCCTTGTGTATGAAGTAAATATGGATGGTTTCTTGCCATTTGGAGATGGGAAACACAAAACTTGCAGTGTAAGAGCTAACACAGACTTAATGCAGTATAAAAAATTAAAAAATAAAAACCCTCCCAATCCCTAAACCAGAAAGAAACCCAAAAGCTCCCGGCCCTGTATCTCTAAATAATGGAAGTTTAAAAATATAATAAAATTACCCCACCCTTGTGTATGAAGTAAATATCCTATCAATGAGTCTTGTCCCCTGACAAAGATCAGTAAAATAATATGTTAGGAGTTATGTTCTATCTGATAACACGTTAGAAGAAAGTTAAAAATAAATTCCAGTCATCAGTAAATGGCCTTATGATTTTCCATACAGCTGTTGATAACACTGAACAGTAATGTTAGCTTCTAGAGATACCTTGTCCAAAAAATTTAAAGCTCAAGGACTTTCCAAGGCTGCTAAAGCATCCAGACCAAACCACGCTCTCAATACATATTTTAACTGTATACATTGTTATTCAGTTATTTATTTTGCATTCTTTCAAAAGTCTGAAAAGTAGCATTACAGTAAATATCCCCTTTTCCACCCATGTTTTTTTAAATTCTTCCTGCAATTTTGAAATAACTATTCAACTACACTGTCAACTTCTCATGTGAACTGGGATCAAATATTAATTTGTTCCTCAATAATCACCTTAATCACCTTGAGTGCTAGAAAAAAATCTCAGAATCCTTATAATAAGTTGAACCAATTACTTGCCATGATTTGCCAACATCTTGAAGAAATGGTGCTTTAGGATTTGGATCCCCTACATAGCACTTCAGGCAATCATACATCTGAAAACACCTCCTTTGGCCTCTACCAAGCTCTCAGAATTACCTCCCTTAGTCACTTTTAGTTTTTTTTTTTTTAAATATTAAAGGACAAGCTGGCATAATGCAAAGCAAAGCAGTATTTATTTTCTATTTCCAGCTATGGCTTTGAGCCCCATAAGCATATTAGAAATGGCAAGGGGTTGCAGCCCAGGGTTCTGTCTTGAAACGTTCAATGGGTTCTTCAGGCTGCACTGAAGAAAGACAAAGGTTGTGGTGGCAGAAACATCCCAGGTGGTTAGATGGAGTGGTGAGAAGAACCTCGTGGATCTGCTTTCAAGTGACTTCATAGCAGTCATTTCATATACAGGACAGTCTTTGCATGCCAGTCATTTTGTGAGAGGTTCCAAAATATTGCCAATGTGTCCACCAACAAAATAACAGTTGAGGACCTCTGCTTTAGGATTCCAGTCTGCCTCTGCCTATAGACATGCCTTCAACATGAAGCAGCTATAAGGCACCACAGCAGACTGCATAAAAGGTGACTACATAAAAAGACTACATAAAGACTGCATAAAATCAGACAGCAGATTATGTTTTTAAAAAAAGAATTATGTTACCAAAATTCCTTTTAAAAAGGCATTCACCCCCACAGAATTGAATGTCTACGCCAAGAAAATATGTGTTAAACTGTATATGTAATAGGTCACTTGAGAAATACAGTAATAAACCTTAATCTTTCCTGAGTCTAACCTTTGCTGATTTCAAGTCAACATTTTCAGACCTCTTTTGCAGGAAAAACTCAGGGACATTCCTTAAGAGACCATCACTGGACCCAACAGATCTGGACAATTTTCATCCAGTCTCCAACCTCCCATTTTTAGGTAAGGTTGCTGAGAAGGTAATTGGCTTACAACAAGAGAGCCCTGGAAGCAGCAGAATATCTGGACCCTTTTCAGTCAGGATTCAGGCCTCATTATAGCAGTGAGACAGCATATATAGAAAGGCAGGAGACCGAGAAAGTGAGATACTTTAAATAACCTGATATAGTGATCCAGAATTTAGGGTCCTGGAAAGCACACATGCATTTTCTAATTTTATCAGTTCAAAAAAGCTTGTAGCAATTCTAAAATTCTTCCATACAAAGGCAGAGAATATACCGGTGGTCCTTGTTTAATGACAACTTGTTCAGTGACCATTTGAACTTGCGACTGTAAACAAGTGGTACTTACAACCAGTCCTCGAAGTTCTGGTTGCCGCAGCACCCCTACAGTCATGTGATTGTGAACTGTAGTGCTCAGCAACCGGTCCAGATTTCTGACCACTGCAGCATCCCATGGCCACGTGATCACAATTTGTGACCTTCCCTGCCGGCTTCCCACAAGCAAAGTCAGTGGGGAAACCAGTAGAAAGTCAAAAGTCACAGTCACATGAGGTCCTTGCTTAACAACCCGTGCTGTCCTTGTTTAATGATGGTAACTGGGGACCACCAGAACTGCTGTTACTAAGCGGTGTGGTCACATGACATTGCACTTTACAACTGCATTGCTTAGCAATGGAAATTCCAGTCCCAATTACTATTGTTAAGCAAGGGCTACCTGTATTCCTGCAGTTTTTAAATTATTTGCCACTAGACTTCAGCTCAGTTGCTCTATTGTTCACAGATGTACCCTTCTTATCCTAACTATAAGTCACTGGAAATAATCCAAAATACTGTAAGTTTCTAAGAGTGGGGTTTTGAATACTTAAATGCATCTCCAGGACAACTCTAAGAATAAAGGCTGGTCAGTTGACAATCAAGGTAAGAGCAGGACATTTAACTATTGGTCATTATGCCATTATTCTCGTACAGGGCCTCTTATCCAGGCCAACCAATTTCAGTCTTCATGGTCCCAAGTAGTTTTGGGAAAAGTCCTTATTGTGTGGCCTCTGTAGATTTTCTCTCTCTTAGAATTTACTCAGGCTTAAGACAGTCATCAGAGGAAGGCTCTGAGACACTGAATATCAAAATGAGATTAGCCTGTTCTCAGAGCCCGTCAGAGAACAAGAGGAGCATCCTACTTGTATTACATCACTCTGCCATTCCAACAAAGTTTCTTCTTTAGAGCCAGTGTAACATCTTATCCTCAGCAGTTCCATATATAATAAAATCCATATAGCTTGCCAATTTTGCCCCTGTGGTTCCAGTTCTGTTGAATTCATCCTATACATGTTGCTATATTACTCCTTTTATACTGACAGGCAAAAAGCTTCATATTTTTTATTATTACCGGACTCAGGTCAGTCTGACAAATTCTTGCTTTTGTAGGGCAGCAGCAATTAATATTTGCAAGCTGTTGACTTTGGTATCACACGACAAACAGCCTCTGATGGGTCTCTTTAGGCATTTTTTATACTGTTGGTATCCAAATATCATTTTACTTTTATTCTGGGTTTGATTCCGATCTCTTATAATAAAATTGTGTTTGTATTACCTTGTGGATATCATTGTAAAACAAGGAAATCACATTTCATGCTGCATGCCTTACTCATCACTAACTGGCAAACATCTAGCTAGACAGTTGCACTTTGCCACTCTAGGCTGATCTAAAAAAAAAAAAGAAAAACTAAGCAGGGTAAACCTGAATAATATTTGGATGAGGGACTATCAGGAAATCCCAAGATTTCCTACACTAACAAACTGAAGGCTTAATTTATATACATTCCTACAATTCAATTAAATGTGTCTTTTTCCATTTTTTAAAAATTCTATTTGCCATTTAACTTTTTCTATTTCCAGTTTGTGTATTTACTTTTTTCCCATACTTCTTAAAGAAACTGTCCTAATTTATTCACTGCTTCAGGTTTTTTTAAAAATACATTCTGATCTTCAAGTGTTGTTAGCTGCCCTGGTAAAGCTCTTTTCTGAAAGCCGGTGTGCTAAATAAAAAACATCAGTGAATTTCATTTTTCTAATATTTTTTTCCCATTTTGCTTCCTTGAGTCACATAATGGAAATATGAACTAATTTTTCCAAGAGAATTTTATTCATACATCCAATAATATTCTTAAAAATTATATTACCCACTAAAAACATCTTTTAATTTCCATTAGTGAAAAATGCTATCACTAGAATTTTTTAAAATTTTATTATCTTTATTTTTGTAACAAAACAATCTTAAAGAAAGGAAACTCAAAAAAATAAAAATACAAATTAAGAAGGAAAAGAAAAAAAAATCTATCTTTAGTAGAGTTACTGTAAAGCAGAAATACAGAAATGAGGATGAAGCTGTTGTAAGGAAGGTTTTAGGAGAAAAATTGTTCCAGTTTCCAATGCAACAAGCATTCTCAGTTCCTCAAACAAAAAAGAAAAAAGAATCTAACTGCTTATAAAAAAATCAGTTCTCAGTTACTTGAATTAAACAGAAGTTAGGTACAATAACTTGAACAGAAAGCTATTCCATCTGCAGGCCAGTGACACTTCAACAAACCTCATAGAAGCTGTGCTGATTGTGAGTAAGGATCCAAAATCATAAATCCACAGGGCCAATACACTTAGTTGTACTAGAGTACCTTTTTGTAGGCATTATTACCTCTGAATTTTCAATTCTGGAGTTTCAACAAACCAAGAATTCACAAACAGGAAGCTATAAAACAGCAGTGGTGGCGTACCTGAAATGGGACACCATTGGGGTAACGCCTCTGCAGCTCAGAAGGGAAGAAGCCATCCATGATATCTCGCAGGCAATGCTGAAACCACAAGCAGAGCCAACTCATTAGGTTACCCCATAGTGACAAAGCAACCACAATGGAGTAAAGCTTAATATTTCGCTGTTGGCACCTTATCTATTTCCGTTTATGTATTCCCCTTTTATCAGGGCTTTGAAACAGAGAAATATACTGTTTCCCACCATAAAAAAAAAGAATGAAATTAAATGGGCCAACATTTTCTGTTGCAAAATTTATAGATTCCATCTGAATTTAGTACCACGGCAGATAGGCAATGGCCTGAGAAAAAGAGCAAACCAAGCAATCTAAGGATTGCAGACTTGGACACACGAAGACCAATGAGTAACCCAGTTTAAAACTAGACCAGACTGGATGCTGGCCACCTGATGAAAACTGCACATCAAGTAATGAAACCTATCTAGCCCAGCAATGACAGCAGCCAATGAGAGCACAGCTTAGGCCAAGAGTAGAAGAACTATGTAAAAAGGAGGGCCAGACAGGGGCCTGTTTGGAAGACGCTCCATCAACTATTTTGACTGTAATTCATTTTTCAGGTTTCTTGATTGGTTTTTCTGTTGAGGTTTGCTGATTATGTGAGAATGAAAAAAGTGGGCGGGTATGCTATACCCAATAGGGATATGCTACTTTATCCCCACACTTTTGCTATATTGTAATCAACAAAGCAAAGAGATTAACATAGAATTTTTTGTGTGCTCTGTGTCATTTAGTGTGAGTCACTATATCCCCAAAAGATATACAAGTGTGTTCCCTGAATAAACTTCCAACCATTGACCAAGCTGCATTTCCAGCAATCTCAAGATGTCCATTCCTGACTATTTCTGAGCCACAGAGCATTGCAAGTGGGGAGAGTGGGTTATATGTGCTTCAATGGGTGGTGCAAGGAAGATATTTTTTAATCTTTCTATCTGTTGTTTGCCTTTGGGTCAGTCTTTGACACCTGATGACTGGTCAACCTGACACCTAGATAAGTCCCTGCACTGACACCCGGACAAGCCTCTGCAGTTTTGTTGGCAAGATTTTTGGAAGTGTTTTGCCACTGCCTTCTTGCTAGGGCTGCGAGAGAGTGACTGGCCCAAAGTCACCCAACTGGCTTCATGCCTAAGGTAGGACTAGAACTCATAGTCTCCCAGTTTCTAGCCTGGTGCCTTAACTACTGCACTGAACTGGCTCTCAATTATTCTAATAGTAAAATGTTAATCCCAAGGTTTAAATGTGAAACCACAGCTTCAACTGCACATGTAAAATTTAGAACAAGTTTGCAATCTGGGGAGGGGAGGGGAAGCTTCATGTTTGTTCCTGGTAAAGATAAGCTCACTATAGAGTCTAAGAGAAGCCAATGAAACAGCAATCTGTGGGGGGAGTAGACAGGAAGTGCCTATTTATTACAGCTTTCCCCAGTTTCATGCTCTTGGACACTTCGGACTTTATCCATTGGCCAGGATGGCTAGAGTAACAAAGTCCAACATTTCCTGAAAGACACCAAGTAAGACAAAACTAATGTACAATATTTTACCTCAAAGAGCAGAAACATACGAAGAAAAACTAGATAGTCAGTGAAACAACCTTGAGAATCTTGGGCAACTCTGAAAAAGAGTAGGCCTAAGTATATAATCCCCCTTCCAGGTACTATCCCACCTCTTCAAGAAATGGGAAGACTATCCTAATGAGGAGAATAAAGCAGAATACAAAGTCTAGCAGAAAAATCATAAAATGATAATAAGGAATGCAAAAACTTATATTCAAAGCAGAAAACCACTCAGGGGCCATTAGACAACCGAGGTGTGAAAGAGATCCTCAGGAAAGATATTGTATAGAGATTGCAGAAAAACTGAATTAATTATTTCTTCTGCCTGTTACAGAAAACATAGACTAGATAAGTGAGCTTGCATTGATTTTCTCAGGGTGGGAACAACTGAAGCAAATTGGGGTATCATGAAAATCTATTCTAGGAGGTCTTGAGAGACTATGTAGTAGCAAATCACTGGGTCGTGATGGCATCCACTTAAGAGGTCTTAAATAACGCAGTTGAGAAATTTCCGACCTCCTAGCAAAAATTATCAATTTTCACTCAAATCAGGGTCAGTGTCACATCACTTTTTAAAAAGTGATTAAGTGGAGATCCAGGAAAGTATAGGCCAATCAGCCTAACATCTGTTCCAGATAAATTGATAGAAATGATAATAATTAAAAAAAAAAACCAAGCATACAAAAGAACAAGCATTGCTGAAGGAAAATCAGCATACAAAGGAAACTCCTGCCCCATCAATTTTTTTGAGTTTTTTGAGTGTCAACAGGAACATAGATGGAGGTGTCTCCGTCCACACTGTATACTTAGATTTTCAGAAATGTTCCAAGGCTCTTGAGTAAATTTGGTGAATATAGGATAAGAGGACTAAAGGCATTTAATACATTTTCTCTGTATAAAACTTTCAAATCTGGGTAGCTATAAAATAGACTATTCAACCAAATATCTTAACTACAACTTTCAGCCAATAGTTGTCTGACTTATTCACCATAAGAGACTTTATTTGCATACATTGCTATAATACCTCTCTGTGGGGACTTTAAGAAGTCACACCAAATTACAGCATCCGCATGTGGTAAAGGCTCCAGACAGCTTGGTCATTGTGTGTGGGGAACTGCAACAGGCTGAAATAAGCAGCAGCTTCCATTTATTTGGAATTTATTTATCAAGTGACCTTGAAATGCAACAGAAGTAACACATAAAATCTTGTGCTTGTCTGAAAATGGAAGCCAAGTGGAAGCCAAATGGCTTTTGCCATCAGAAAGAAAACACCTTACTGCTCATTTTCATTTCCCCCAACTTGTAACTCCCTTCCAGAATGACAATCAACATGAAAAAACACGCAATGCATTTTCAGCTAAAAGGAGCAAACAGATGAGAAATGCAGATAGTCCTCGACTTACGACCTTACAAATAGTCCTTGACTTACAACCATTCATTTAGCAACCCTTTGAAGTTTACAACAGCGCTGAAAAAAGTGACTTACAACCAGTCCTCACACTTATGACCATCACAGCGTCCCCGCAGTCACATGATCAAAATTCAGGTGCATATTTGTGGCTTCTTATCAGTCTTTTCAAAAGCAATAGTCAAGATGCCCAGTGACCCCTTAAAAGATAAGATTTGTCAGGCTAGCCCAAAAAACTCCTGGAGACCATGCAGGTTCCATCAGCAAGGTTTATTAGCCAGCGCCTGTTTAC